AAATGCACACACACACACACACACACACACACACACATATATATATATATATATATATATATATATATAATTGTTTTTTTAAAAGAGTTAATTTCACAAAGCCAAATAGGTGCTTCCTCTTTCATAGCTTATAAATAGACCCAGGCTGTATATGGACTTAAAAAGGGGATTTGGCTCTTACAGACCACTTTGGTTTGTTCCAAAATGTCAAGTTTAACATGACTTGGCCCCAGCAAAAGTAATCATTTCTGTGTGAGATAACACTTCATTAATCTCAGAAAGTGCTCTTCTATACCCATTTTTGCTTTGATGCCTTGTATTTTGAGTTCAAATCAAAATGCGACGAACTTTATTGCTTTTTGATTGAGTTTTGGCCCAGCAGGGGGTGTGATTTGCCTGTTGGAGGATGCCCACTTTTGCTGTGGGTGTGGGTGGCCTTGAACTACAGAGCGAGAGAAAGAGAAGGCAGTGAAAAAAGGAAAAGCGGAGAGTAAAACTGCTGCAGTCATGGACTTGCGCTCAGAACTGCTCAAGTCCATTTGGTACGCTTTCACCGCTCTAGATGTGGAGAAGAGTGGAAAGGTGTCCAAGTCTCAACTCAAGGTGAGCTGTAAATCCATTAATGCACTATGATAAAACTTTCGGATGTTGGAGGCTGAAAATTGGGGTCCCGTACGGCTCTCGGATCTCAAGGTCTTAAAATGCTCTAACATATTCCTTGATCTGAAGGACAGAAAGAAGGATCAGTAATCAACTCATGCATAAGTTTTTTTTTTCCTTCCTATGTTATGCTTAAAAGATGCCATGCACTTGCTTTAACTGCTTGTGATGTGTTTCCTGTGTGTTATGCCACATGGTCTATAGTAAACTTACTAAATATCTGGGTCACAGGTTTTCTTTTACAATTGTCCATTTATAAGACTGAAGAGACCTGTTCATTCATAGTCACATTATTTTAATGGGAATTCTTATTTTCTTTTCTTTTTTCCCTCTCTTTCATTTTTTCATCTTTTTTCTGCATTTATAAAGGTTATGTCTGATCTTATACCATATACATGAGACTGCAGTCCCATGATTAGGTTTTGTCCAGTCCATGTCTCAAGCTGACCAGCTGTAACAGAGCATCTCTGACTCTTGGGCATTTTGGGTCTGAAGCTGTAAATGGGCTCAAACTGTTCAACTTTGAATCTTAAGTTTTGAGAACGGTGGTCACCGGATGTGTGTAGTGAGATCACACTCTTTGTACTTTGTAACATTATGGTTTGATCTACTCATTACTAGTCCACAACATCAGTTCTGTCGTTTTCAAAGAATAATTTAGAGAAGTTCCTGAGCAAAGTTAGAGAAGTAATGCAATGTAGCCCTGCTGTTGCTGTTGTTGT